CCCAGGCACGCCACGCCTGTGTCACTCGCGTCCTGCCCCCGTGGCCATTCCTCCGAGATGTTCCCGTCCCAGCCACCTCTTCCGAGCTGACTCATCCTCCGAGTTTTAGGCTTCGGCTCACATGCCACCCCCTTCCCGACACCTGATCTAGAGGGACCTCGTCGGATTGCCTCATTCCCCCCGCTGACTCCCTGGGCAGGCCAGCCCTGCACCCTCCTCTCCTCGCTACCATGTGCCATGCATGCCCGTCTTCCCTCCTCCGCCCTGGGGAAGAAGCTGAAAGTTTTGGGAGGGCGAGACTTTTCTGTTCCATCGCGCACTGCAATTCAGATCATGCCCTAACGGAACCAGCACTCCCACCCCCATGGTGCGGTTCCCGAATCAACTAATTTCGAGCGCAAAGAGCACTGCCGCGAGGCACGAAAACCCTAGGTTTGGGCATAACCCAGCGGCAACGACGTCACAGCCATCCTTGCTCGCAAGCGCTCCCTCTTTGCCTAAGAACGCCTCCGGCAGTCGTTTCCGGAGGTCCCACGGTACCCGCTGAAGCCCCGATCTGAACTAGCAACCCTGAACTTGAACTTCAGCCCTGCAACGCGCTAGCCTGGTGACCTTGATAAACGCTGCCTGGACTGATTCAGACAATTTCACGTCTTTCTCTCGAGTGGCTTGTCTTTGAAGTTCGAGTAAGCCTAAGAAGCTTGGGCAGACCAGAGGGCCCCAATGTTAGTTATTAGACCCACGACATTCTCCAAAAGGAAAGGATGTCCCGGTTTTCACCTGGGCCATCTCGCCCCGCCCCATCCAGGCTGGGCTTAAGCAGAGCCCAAACTGCCTCGGATGGATGAATGGAATGCTTCTCATAACCCGCGATACAAAGCAAATAAATCCTGTGGAAACAGATCTCTCTACCTCCAACCTGGAAAAAAATCCTCATCTCCTTCCCAGAGAAGCGATTGAGGGTGGCAGGGCTAACCGTGCAATCCCCCACTTCCTTTTTTCCGAACAGTCCCCACGTGTAACTGTCTGTCCAGGTTGTCTGACCGTCTCTACTATAGGTCCTGAAAAACACGTGGTTGAGAGTCAGGGAGTAAGGACGAGAGTGGAGCATCCTCCGCTGCAGAGCAGAGATCCGCCTCTCTGCCTCCAGCAAAGAGATCCCTTGTCAGAAAGGGAGGGGAGGGCCGCCCAAGCAGCAGCCCTCCCTGATTCTCCAACCTGAGAAGCACCGTCTCCGGACTGCCTCGACCGACTGGCACCTGACCCAAGGGTGAAAAACAAGGAGAAGAGGTGAGAACGTCATAAATGAGCATTTCCTGATGGACAATGTGTTTCCAGACGGGCAAGACCAGTGGCCGGAGGGGAACTGGAAGACTTCACCGGCCCCGACTTTTTTGCGATAGGAAAGGGATAAGGCTCGCTTTGTTATACTCCCTGGCCTCTGTTCCCCAGCTCCTAAATTTAAAAGCTTCTGGCATGACATCCCAGCATAGCGTATTGTCTAAAGGATTTGCTACTGAAAGGACTGTTCCATGGAACCTCCTGTCCGCCAGGGCTCTTTGGCTATGTTTATTTGCTGCTGGTTAACATGCAGCCCAGCTTCGGAAGTTCGACAACCAGGAAGGCGTGGTGCATTGACCCATCTCTCCGCTCTCGCACTGCCTGTGCAGGTAGAAATAAGAAGATGGGTTATCAGAGACAGGGAGGGTACGTGGGTGGTGAAGAGAGGTTGATTAATGAATGAAACTTTTAATTAGAGAGAAGGAAAACCTCACTATTTATTCCACACACAGTGGTGTGACTATAGTTAAAAACAATCTATTGATATTTTCAACAGCTCAAGGGAAGATTTGAAATTGTTTTCCAAACACCACAAAAAAATGATAAATGTTCAAGGTTGATAGAAATCCTACCCTAATGTGATCACACACATTGTGGTTGGGCACACGTTGTTCAAAATATCATACATGCAATTATTATCATCAATCATCATAAACCAGACGCCAACCTCCATTCAGCGTACGAATCTGCTGAGCTCTGCCCGCATCCCAGGATTATGAGGCTATAGCTGGCTGGAGTGAGACAGCAGTGCAGTTAGAGCAGAAATTGCGTGCAAGAGAAGAAACAGGCCCTGGCCCATCCCTTCAACCTGAAACAGACACAGCCAGCAAATGGAAATGCGCCTCTCCCGCGACCTACCACGCCGCACCCCAATTAAAATCCTGTTGAGATTCGATGCTTCGCTCCTCAATCGCTTAGGGCACACACACCATCCTCCACGGCCCGGCGGCTCCCCCGGTTGGCTTCACCTTTGCACCTGGCGCAGCCGGCGGCGGCGCGCTGCTCTTGCAGCTCGTCCATTGCACACTCGGCTTTATTCTTGTTGCACATCTCTATCCAGAAAACGAACTAGCGCATAAGGTCGGAGAGACGCAGCTGATGTTACCAGCTACTTGGGGAGGCTAGCAGGAGATCAGCCAGCAAGTTTTAGTTGCTGATGGGCGATCTGACACACATGGAAGTAACTACACTCTAGCACTAAGGCAACAGTGACGATTCGTCAAAGAAGAAAAAGAAAGAAGAGAAAAGACGAAGAAGACAGAGAGAAGAGAACAAAGAGCAGAGAGAAGCAGAAGAGAAGAAGAAGAGAAGGAAAAAGAAATCCTCGCGTAAGAGGAAACCCAGAGTGCGCCTGTATCCCACCCCCAGGCAATAGCAAATCTGTCCCAAACGGTGCAGCTCGAGACCACATCCCCACAGATACAAACCCGCTTGGTTATTACCACCGGAATCCCGTTCTGCGGGGAAGGCAAGAGCACCAACTCAGGAGCGGTAATTCCCTTGGAGCAGAAAGGCTGGATTGCTCAATACCATCAGGCGCAGAAGGCCAAAATGACCTCCGGAGAGATCCAGTCTGTGAACCGTTCATCACGCAGAGCCAAGTGCCAGAGGAGCGATGGATAGGCCCGGCCATGACACCAAGGACAAAACCAGGTCCTTGTGGAAGCTTGCGAGGACGGACGCCCACCATGAAGAAGAGCGCACATCGAAAAATGAATCTCGCTGCCCGGCGCCCGAACCCATCTGCCCGAAAATCTAGTAGCATCCCTCCTCTGGGCAGGTTCAATGCCCTGCAAACCAAGCGTCCGAGCAACCAGGATGCGTTCTCAAGAAGAGCCCTACCGCATCAGGGCCAGTCACCCTCCCCGTCACTCTGCTTCTGTCACTGAGTCGTCCTAGTTAACACACGCTGGGCAAAAGCGTGTCACAGAGGACAGCTTGTAAAATCAGGAGAGGCTTCTCTGCCTCGCAAGAGAAGGGAGGATGTGTGCGTTAAACGCAAGTTATGAGAAAGCAGCTTAATACTCTAGCAAGCGGTTACGTTTTGTTTCGTTTTTGAAACAGAGTCTCACTGTGTCGCCCGGCTAGGAGTGAGTGGCCGTGACGTCAGCCTCGCTCCCAGCAACCTCAACTCCTGCTGCAGGCGATCCTCCTGCCTCAGCCTCCGAGTAGCTTGGACTACAGGCATGGCGCGCACCATGCCGCTGAGTTTTTTTGTATATTAGTTGGCCAATAATTCTTTTCTATTTTTAGTAGAGACAGGGTCTCTCTCCTGCTCAGGCTGGTTTCAACTCCTGAACATTGCTCATCGCGCATAATCCTTCGGCCTTCACAGAGAGCTAGATAGACAGCGATGAGGCCCGCGCACCGCAGCGCAGAGCATGTTTTTTATAAGACTGAATAATTCTCATTCCAAGGTAGCTTTCCCACCCCTTCCATGGTGTCTTACTCCTAAGAGATGCGCTCCATCCCTAACGCCCGTCAGTCCAGTCCTGAGGACCCCTGGGGCCAATTCCGCGTGGAGTGTGGAGTCAGAGTCCCTGCGTTCACAGAGGACATAGTCCCGTTGGAAAGACAGATTCAGACACAGACAAGGACCAGCCAGTGTCGGGATTGCTGCGACAGTGAGGGGAAGGGTTGTGTGGTCTGAGTGAAGGAGAGCTTCCCACATAAGAAAAGACGCAGCATGAGCAGGAACTCGCCAAGCCAAGGTAGGAGTGGAGAGCTCTAGACTGGGCCCATAGAAATGTTGGTCTGGGCTAAGAGCTAGGGCCTTAGGAGAGGAAGCTCAAAAGGTCCTTTTACCCCTATGGAAATGGAGTCACTGAAAGTTTTTTGGGGGGGACAGAGTCTCGCTTTGTTGCCCAGGCTAGAGTGAGTGCCATGGCATCAGATCCTCCTGCCTCAGCCTCCCGAGTAGCTGGGACTACAGGCATGCGCCACCATGCCCGGCTAATTTTTTCTATATATATTTTTAATTGGCCAATTAATTTCTTTCTATTTTTAGTAGAGGCGGGGTCTCTCTCTTGCTCAGGCTGGTTTCGAACTCCTGATCTCCAGCGATCCTCCCGCCTCAGCCTCCCAGAGTGCTGGGATGACAGGCGCGAGCTGCCTCGCCCCGCCTTTTTTGCTTTTTTCAAATGACAGCTCCCTGGACCCTCGGCCGTCTCCGGCGCTTGCAGAGCGCGCCCAGGCCCGGGGAGGCGGCCGGCCCCGGGCTCCTGCGGTCCACCTGCCCCGCCGCAGGGCAGGGGGGCCCGCCTGGGGGGACAGCTCAGCGTCTATTTTCAGACCGGCTCCCTAAAAATACCTCGGCCGTCCCGCCCGGACCGCGCTCCCTCCTGACCTGAATGGGTCCCGCGCGCCCGCCCCGCCCCTGGCGCGGCGTCCTTTAAAGGAGGAGGGCGTGGCCACCCGGAGGGAGGGGGGCCTGCCGCGCGCTGGGATTGGCCGGCCGCGCGCCCGCCCCACCCAGTCGGCGTCCTTTAAATGAGAAGGGCGTGGCCACCCGGGAGGGGCGTGGCCACAGAAAGGCCGCGCGCCGGGATTGGCCGGCCCCGCGCGAGCGCCCGCGCGGATTGGCTGGCGCGGTTCCGGGGGAGCCCCGGCTCTCCAATTAAAGCGGCCCGAGGGCCCAGGCTGCGCGCAGAGCTACCCGGTCCGCGCGCAACCCAGCCGGAGCTGCTGCGGGCGCCGAGTCGCCGCTACCGGGGGAGAGGATGGCGCAGGTGGCCAAGGACCTCAACCCCGGCGTTAAGAAGGTGAGTGGAGCCCGTCTGCGCCGCATCCAGGCTCTGTCCTTTCCCCGCGCTCCGCGCTGGCCCAGGGAGACTCAGCGGGTCCCGGCTGGCGGGGCAGCCAGTGGCCGGGAGCAGTGCGGGTCTGGGCTGGCGGGGCACCCAGTGGCCAGGAACAGAGCGGTCTGGCTGCGGGGCCCCAGTGGACCGGGAACAGTGCGGTCCTGGGCTGGCGGGCCCCATGGCCAGGAACAGAGCGGGTCTGGGCTGGCGGGGCACCCAGTGACCGGGAACAGTGCGGGTCTGGGCTGGCGGGGCACCCAGTGGCCAGGAACAGAGCGGGTCTGGGCTGGCGGGGCACCCAGTGACCGGGAACAGTGCGGGTCTGGGCTGGCGGGGCACCCACTGACCGGGAACAGTGCGGGTCTGGCTGCGGGGCACCCAAGTGCAGGAACAGAGCGGGTCTGGGCTGCGGGCACCCAGTGGCCAGGAACAGAGCGGGTCTGGCTGGCGGGGTACCGCAAAGGGGGTTTTTGACCGGGAACAGTGCGGGTCTGGGCTGGCGGGGCACCCAGTGGCCGGGAACAGTGCGGTCTGGGCTGGCGGGGCACCCAGTGGCCGGGAGCAGTGCGGGTCTGGCTGCGGGGCAACCCCAGTGGCCGGAGCAGTGCGGGTTCTGGGCTGGGGCACCAGTGGCCGGAGCAGTGCGGGTCTGGCGGTCGGGGCACAGTGCCCGGCAGCAGTGGGGTCTGGGCTGGCAGGGTACCCAGTGACCGGGAACAGTGCGGGTCGGGCTGGCGGGGCACCCAGGTGGCCGGGAGCATGCGGGTCGGGCTGGCGGGTACCCAGTGACCGGGAACAGAGCGGGTCTGGGCTGGCGGGCACATGCAGGCAGCATGCACTCACTGAGCCATTGCGTGGAGTCCTTGCCAAAAGGTCTTTGGTTGATGCTAGTTCAAATTAATTGAGACAATTTTTTTTTTTTTTGCAATGTTATGGCCTGCTGAGCTCAAAACTTCGCTCCCCTTCCCCTGCCCCTGGTGGTCGAGGGGAGCACTGGGGTTTGATGAACCACCCGCAGGGCCTCCCTTCTTGCTGTCATCCTGCTGTTCTGTGCTTTTCTCCAATACAGACACGCACTCCTACACACAAGTGTGCACATAAAACCAGTGTCTGCAGTTGGCGATGTTGGCAGTGGCTGCAGATCCAGCGCAGGAAGCGGATTCTGTCCGGGGGTCTGTGCGTTTTTCCTTTTCAACAGGGCTGGCCCGGTCCCCAAAGGTGACAGCTAAACTGTTGCACACGGAGCTTGCGCTGTAGCTCTGCCCCGCCGCCGGCGCTTACCTGGGTGCAGTTGGGAGCGGAGGTACCGGCTGGACACTTGACGCTTAGAGGACCTGTGAATGCGGAGGGGGCAGAGAGACAACCTGGGCTTTACAGATTGGGAAACTGAGGCCCCAGGGTGACAGAGTTGTTCCAGCAGGCAGCAGAGGTAAGGAAAGCCTTAGGCATTCAACCAGGCCTGCTCTGCATTTTAACTGCACGGTGTCGGCCAGTCACTCTTCTGAGCCTCAGTTTCCTTGTCTCTGATGTGGGGTGGCAGGCCACACTCCTCACTGTCCACAGTAGCAGAAGAGTGACACTGCGGGGTAACACTCCAAAGCATCATTCATAACTCTGATCTCAGGGAGTTTAGTCTTGCAGGTGCAAAGCACTTAATGCCTGAAACATTTGCTATGACATATCAAGGTAGAATGGGGTGGAAGACTAGTCAGGATCAAAACAAGAGTGCCAGCCGGCGCTCAGAGGCTCAGCATCAGCATCCAGTTTAAGGAGCTCGCTCGTCAACAGATAGCCCGCCCACACCAGCTCCACACCGGAACACACTGGATCTTCTGACTTCATCCGGGCATCTTTCTGGAATGTCCCGTGCCTGGTGGCATTTGCCAGACTATTTGCAGAATCAAGTCATCTCCCTGTGGAATCCATGCGCTTTAGACCTTTGGAAGATAACTGTTCATTCTACCTAGTTGGGAGTTCGTGCTTGCTGCGCTTGTCTTTCTCTACACGTTTTCCGAACTCCTGAGGGCCAACCTGTCGTGCTCACCCTGTCCCGGCACAGCACGCCACGATACACACAGCAGGACCCAAAAGCTATGAGTGAGCCACTGAGAATATCTGCCCAGCTAAGGACAGCAGTGTTTGCGTAGGGCACGTTGCAGGCATTGGTACTTCTCATCTTGTTGTAGCGCTGTGCTATTGGGTATCTGACGGCCCCCCGAATTCTGTCGAAGTAGAAGAGGCAGGTAAGCAGCCGAGTTCCATTGTCCTCCGGAAAGATGAAATGATTTCTGGGTATTTCGAATCTAAGCTGGCTGATGGTTAGAACATGTGGCGCGAGACGGGCATATGAAACCGTCCCCATCCTCAGCACGGGTCAGCGGGGCCACTGCTCAGAGGAAGCCCTTGCTTTTATTCCTTTCACGGTGTATGAGTATCCAGATTAGAGCGGAACATGTCCTTCTTGTCACCTCTAGTGCCAACTTCCTTGGCCTGCAAGGCTTTATTTTCCATTTAGATCCAATTACAGGCTTAGAGAAAGAATGTGGTGGGTAAGAGATGAAAGGGCAGATATTTTTACCCTCTTGGTACTGCAGCAATCGGGAGAAAGATCATCGCGCCTGTAGATTAACCATGCCTTCGACACAGAAAGCCTAGGGACGGCAGAGAGTTGGCAGAAGTCGCCTTGCGAGCTGAGTGTCCGACGTGATTAAGCAGTGCGCCAAATCAGCAGCACGCTGAAAAGTGCTTATGCGATTTTTACTCTTAAATCTGCAACCGCGAGGGCATTGTATACATGGCTTCAAGGATGCCGTAATCACGCTTAGGACATTTGACAACCGTCATAGACCAAAAGTGCAAGGAACTTTTCACAAAAAATGAGAAATGGTTTTAAAAGGCACACCGTCTGCACTGCCCCCGGCCCCAGGAGTGAGTGGGGGAACCCCTACAACTATAGAGATCATGAAAAGATCTTCAACAGAGAACATAAAACCAACACTGGAGCCACCTTTAGAACCACCTGACAACCTCAGACAGGGTAAGGGACCCAACTGGGAATCACAGACAGCATAGTCCCCCAACCGTCCCTCATCCTTATGAAGTCAAATGCACCCATTGCGAATCTTGAACTGTTCATGTGTTTTTTCTACCCAGGAAAGAGATTCCCTGCCACAGAGGTTCAAGAACAGGAATTGCCAGAGTCCTTGGCAAGCAGGGCCTTGAAGGCCAAATGTCAATTTTTAAAAAACTTCAGCGATTTAGGGGCGTACCAGTACGTTTTGTCACATGGGTATGTGTCAGCAAGTGGCTCGGGACTTTGGTGTTGGCCCAAGTTTGTGAAACAGTCACTTTATGGTTTGTTCTGCACCTGTTTGATAAGGGGTGCTGGTTATGAATTAGCACGGGCTTGCCTTGCCCAAGTTCAATCCAGCTCTGCCACTTACTTGCTGTTGTGCCGGCACATGACTTCTCCGAGGCCGGTGTCCGCCACCCCACCAGCACTCGAAGTGAGAGCAGTACGCGTCTAGCTCCCAAGGCTGAAGTCACCGGGATGAACGCAGATAAAGGCCTCACTGGGCGCTCAGTGAAGGTGGCCGCCGTCATTTGGCGGGTGCTGCGCAGTGTGTTTCCGCGGCGGGAGATGCATGCGAGGAGTCTTCTGGGTGAAGGAAGGACAACCCTATGACAGTCCGGCTGAAGAGCAGCCAGCTTCCTATCAGAACCATCTAAGCAGTTCTCACCAGAGAGAGCCAGGCCGTGACCTTGACCTCAGGACTGCGTGGCCTTGACCGTGCCTTCGTCTCACCGCAGAGAGCTCCTCTCTAACAGCGTTGCGTAGGTACATTTCACTCGGAATAAAATAATTCTGGGCCTGGAAAGGCTTGGAGCTCTCTCACTTTTAGAAAGGACAACTGAGGCCCCGCGGGTCCGCTCCCATCAGAGTCTGCCTGAAAGGAGCACGGGAGCCCAGCGGCCCTGCAGAGCACAGACCCCGACTGTGGGGAGCAGTGCAGGGATTAGAAAAGGCGGCGGAGACAGCGCTGCCCGAAGGCTTTTTCTCGCCTCAAGGCGGCGCCGTGGCGCGCACCTGACTCCCAGCGGGCGTTCGCACCGAGGGCGTGTCGCCACCGAGGCGTGTCTCTCGCGCTGCTCCAAGCACGCCCTCGCCTCCCGTCCTGCGACCTTCGCCCGTGCTCGCCCTTCCGCTCCCCGCAGTCCCGCGCCAGGGTGGCGCTCACCGCGCCCGCCAGCGTACACGGCCGCCAGGATCGCCTGGCTCCCTCAGTCTAAAACATTAAACTGTCATTAAAGGCCTTAACGCTGAAGAGGACCCTGGAGCCATGCCCATGGTGTGTAACAGCTACACCAAAAGCAAGCCGGATTAAGGAAAACAAGAAAAGAATGGTCCAAATTCCTCCTTAAAGGCTCTGAATCCAGACCGCGTCTGGGCGCAGGTGTTCTGCATATGTGGCTGGGGCTACAGTTTGACTGCCAACGTGTCTGCCTTTGCGCCCATCAGCCGAGGGGCTCAAGCCTGCACCCCAGCACCTCTGGGAGGCAGAGGCGGGTGGATCACTTGAGCTCAGGAGTTCAAGACCAGCCTGAGCAAGAGCAAGACCCCTGTCTCTACCAAAATAAATACAAGGAAACTAGCTGGACAACTGAAAATACATAGAAAAAATGAGCCGGGCATGGTGGTGCATGCCTGTAGTCCCAGCTACTGGGGAGGCTGAGGCAGGAGGATTGCTTGAGCCCAGGAGTTGGAGGTTGCTGTGATGAGGCTGATGCCACGGCACTCTAGCCCGGGCAACAGAGTGAGACTCCGTCCCAAAAATAATAAATAAATAAATAAATAAAATTACATGCGTGGCTCACATGATGTTCCAGCTAGAAGGCTCTTGTCCAATAGGTCATATGTCAAATATCTCACTGTTCTCCGAAAAGAATTTAAACTCCTTCTA